CCGCCGGCTGCAGCACGAGGGCGCCCAGCGCGGCTTCCGCCTGGCCGCCACCCAGGACGTCCACTTCACCGAGGTGGGGCCCGACGTCGGGGTGATGGGCGCCCTCATGGGTGGGTGGGGGCAGGAGGCCTGACGCCGGGGTGATGGGCAGCCTTTGGAAGGGTGCCGGGGTGCCCCCTCCGTGCCCTGATCCGCAGTGGAGCGTGGGCTGGTGGAGGAGGCTGGACACCGGGGTGATGGGCACCCTCATGGGTGGGTTGGGGCAGGAGGCCTGACGCCGGGGTGATGGGCAGCCTTTGGAAGGGTGCCGGGGTGCCCCCTCCGTGCCCTGATCCGCAGTGGAGCGTGGGCTGGTGGAGGAGGCTGGACACCGGGGTGATGGGCACCCTCATGGGTGGGTTGGGGCAGGAGGCCTGACGCCGGGGTGATGGGCAGCCTTTGGAAGGGTGCCGGGGTGCCCTCTCCATGCTCAGAGCTGCAGGGGAGCGTGGGCTGGTGGAGGAGGCCTGACGCTGGGGTGATGGGCACCCTCACGGGTGGGTTGGGGCAGGAGGCCCGACGCCAGGGTGATGGGCACCTTCATGGTGGGTGGGGAGTTTGTGGAGGAGGCCAGACACCAGGGTGATGGGCAGCCTTTGGAAAGGTGCCGGGGTGCCCCCTCCGTGCCCAGAGCTGCAGTGGAGGGTGGGCTGGTGGAGGAGGCCTGACACCAGGGTGATGGGCACCCTCGCGGAGGGGGCTGGTACAGGAGGCTGGATGCCAGGGTGATGGGCGCCTTCATGGGTGGGTTGGTGCAGGAGGCCTGATGCTGGGGTGATGGGCAGCCTTTGGAAGGGTGCTGGGGTGCCCTCTCCGTGCCCAGAGCTGCAAGGGAGCATGGGTTGGGGCAGGAGGCTGGATGCCAGGGTGATGGGCACCCTCATGGGTGGGCTGGTGCAGGAGGCCTGACACCAGGGTGATGGGCACCCTCATGGCAGGTGGGGCGTTTGTGGAGGAGGCCAGATGCCGGGGTGATGGGCAGCCTTTGGAAAGGTGCCAGCGTGCCCTCTCCATGCCCAGAGCGGCAGTGGAGGGTGGGCTGGTGGCAGGAGGCCTGATGCCAGGATGATGGGCACCCTTGCAGCTGGGCCTCTGCAAGAGGCTGGATGCCGGGGTGATGGGCACCCGCATGGGTGGGTTGATGCAGGAGGCTGGACGCCGGGGTGATGGGCACCCTCACGGAGGGGCTGGTGCAGGAGGCTGGATGCCGGGGTGATGGGCACCCGCATGGGTGGGTTGATGCAGGAGGCTGGATGCCAGGGTGATGGGCAGCCTTTCGGAAGGGGGTGCGTGCTGGGGCAGGGCACGGCTGGGAGCAGCTGGCAGTGCCGGGGTGCCCCCTCCACGCCATTATCCACCGGGGAGCGTGGCCTGGTGCAGGAGCCCCGACAGCAGGGTGACGGGCCCCCAGCGGCACTGCCCACCCCTGCCCGTCCCGGCAGAACCTGCTGCGGGTGGGCAGTGCCCTGCTGGATGCCAGCAACAAGCGGCACTGGGAGCTGATCCAGCAGACGGAGGGGGGCACGGCCTGGCTGCTGAAGCACTTTGAGGACTATGCCAGCGCCCTGGCGCAGAACATGCCCCAGACCTACCTCAGCCCCTTCACCATCGTCACCCCCAACATCGGTGAGCGGGGCCCCCCGGGGACGGGGACAGGCGTGCGCCTGGGGCAGGGGGTGCTGGGGACGTGGGCATGGGTGTGCCTGGGGACACGCGTGTGCTCCGGGGACGTCTGTGTGCTGGGGACATGCGTATCCCCAAGGACATGTGTGTGCTGGGGACATGCGTGTGCTCAGGGGACGTGTGTGTGCTGGGGACATGCGTATCCCCAAGGACACGTGTGTGCTGGGGACATGCGTGTGCCCAAGGACATGTGTGTGCTGGGGTCAGGGGCATGTGTGTGCCCAAGGACACGTGTGCTGGGGACATGGGCATGCGTGTGCCTGGGGGACACGTGTGTGCCTGGGGACACGTGTGTGCGTGGGACACGGACACATGTGTGCCCAGGGGACATGCGTGCACCTGGGGACACGTGTGTGCCCGAGGACACGTGTGCTGGGGACATGGGCATGCGTGTGCCTGGGGGACACGTGTGTGCCTGGGGACATGTGTGTGCGTGGGACACGGACACGTGTGTGCCCAGGGGACATGCGTGCACCTGGGGACACGTGTGTGCCCAAGGACACCTGTGCCCCTGGGGACATGGACGTGTGTGTGACTGGGGCTGTGGGCCCCTGCATGCTGAAGACTGGGGACATGTATGTGTCTGGGGACACATGTGTGACCAGGGACATGCGTGTGACCAGGCTTGTGGGCATGTGTGTGCCCAGGGGATGGGTATGTGCCAGGGAACACGGCTCTGCGTGTGCCCGGGGACATGGGCATGCGTGTGCCTGGGGACACGGACACGTGCAGCCTGGGGACATGAGTGCCATGTCCCTGCTACCTGTGTGCCCGGGGGACACACGTGTACCCAGGAACATGGGCACTTGTGTGCGTGCGTGCACTGGGGACGCTGCCACGCGTGCGCCCAGGGGACACGTACCCGGGGACCCGCACCGTGGGTGCCGGGTGCTGTGGGCGCAGGGCACGCGTGGTGCCGCGGGGCCCCGGGTGACGCGGTGCCGCAGTGGTGTCGGTGGTGCGGCTGGACAAGGGCAGCTTCGCGGGCGCCCGGCTGCCGCGGTACGAGGCGCTGCGGGGGGAGAAGCCCCCCGACCTGGAGACCACCGTCATCCTGCCCGACAGCGTCTTCCGGCCCCCCGAGGGCAGGCGTGAGTCCCGGGGGGTGACGGGGGGCTGGCGCAGGCTGGGGGGGGACCCCGCACATCCATGGGGACCCCGGTGTGGGGCTGGCAGGGTTGGGGACCCTGTTGCATCCATGGGGCTGGCAGGGGTGGGGGGACCCCCGCTTTGCCCGGGGGGGCGGGGGCCGCC